AAAAACAGTAAATTATTGGTTTTACCTATCCCTAACTCTTACTTTTGACACAACTATCTAAAATGTTCACTAGTTAACCATTTACTGAGCATGTAAATCCATGAGGATAGAAGAATGCATAAGAGAAAGATATTCTTTATTACAAGCTTTCCAACATCATGATCACAATTACAAATAATTTTCAAGGCTGTTGTAAGAAGTCAACATTAAATGTTAAGTTTAAGCATAGATTACTACTATTTATGCAACATATTTCTTGGTTTTGAAAGGTGTGCATAAAATGTAATGTAAATCAAATCTACTTATCCCTCTCCTGCAGTACAAAATTACTTGTACTTTTGGGGAAGATAATTCCCTAATAAACTAAATTAAGGTCTCTCGGGTAGAAGTTCAGTTTCTCTCTTCATACGGCCACAGAGGGTACTATCTTTTGATTTAGTCCCTTAAGCAGCTTAATCTGCAATACCAACAAAACTCTATGTTTTAAATAGTCTTAAAAGTGCTTAAGGGAGTTCTGGTTCCTCTTTTTAGCCTGCACAGTTTAAGATCAATGGTAAAAGGTAGGAAATAAGCATAAGGGCACTGGAAGAAGGAATGAGTCTGAATAATGTATAATGACTGTTCCCCCATACCAATTTTGTCATGGTGATTGTTCACTAATTTTACAGGAGAGTCTATTGAGATCTGCTACAACTTCTTGGATCTTTGAAGCACTGCTGAATGACATACACAAAGCAGAGCAGATGTCAGCACCTGATTAATCAGTGCTCTACTACTGGCTATATTCCCCAGGCAGGTCACTTAAATTATCTCCAAACAGCTTCCTCATCTGTAAAAAGGATACAAATCCCTTCCTCACAGAGAAGTTATGAGAATTAGAGGAGATTTGAAAATGCTCTGTCAATCATAAAATCATGCAAAATTATTCCTTTGTAGAAATTTGAGGCTTAAATGTAATAACATGAAGGCCACACTAAGCGTCTGGCACATAAATACTTACTAACCTTGCCTTCTGTGTAATCTGCAGTTAGGAAATATAAACCAAAGACACCCTGGTCAGACTCACATCCATTTGGCTTTAAATAGAACTGTCCTTCTCTGCTCCTTTTCTTTTTTTTTTTTTTTTTGGATTAATAATCTTTCATTGTATCTGAGGCTATCTTGAGCCTCTGGTTGAGATCTGGGTCACTAAGGCTTCTGGGGGATCATGTCTTCAACAAGCCTTCCAATGAATGTCCAAACAAAATATAATTTCCTTTTATTTATTTATATTTTTTACCAAAGTTCTTATGAATTGGAAAATAATTTGTTTCAAAGATGGTGATGAAAGGAAAAAAAAAATTTAACTTTCCAAAGGTAATGCTTTTATGAAGAGTTAGAATTTAGTATTTGGAATTCTGGTTAAGACTTCAACATTTTACCTTACTTAAAAGATTTGTTTTATATAACATTTAATGCCCAGTTTTGCATGGCTCTAAAAATCTTTAACATGCAAAAGCTTTTCCAGTGACTGGAAGCCAACATGACAAGACTGAAATGGAATGACCTGTGAATTAGCCTGGTTTATAAAAAAAATACCAGTTCAGAGAACATAAACAAAATAAAGAAACTAAGCAATCCTTACAATGGATTTAGCCTTGGGCAATTAACAGAAAAATTCACTCATAAAAGGATCCATTTTACAGATATCATTTTTTAAAATGTCAGGAACTGGCTTTATAAGAGTAAAAAAGTTAAAATTAATTACAACATCTTCCATAAAGAATATTATGGAAATAATTATATATGAAAAATGAGACAATAAAAGTCCATTTATAAAGTGCCTTAATGTACCAAAAAAAGGAGGTTAGATGTCCTTTATTTACAAATCATATTTAATCCCATTTACAGAAAGGCAAATATTACACTGGAGAGGCAGCATAATAGAGTATAAAGAACTCTATTCTGACTTTCAGTCAGAAGATCTGAATCTTTTTGGCTTTGCCACTAATTATCTCTGTGACTTTGAGCAAATGAGAGCTTTTCTGGGCTTCGGTTTTCTCATCTGTAAAATGAGAGGTAGAACTAGACTGCTTCTAAGGCCAGTCCTTGCTTAGATGTAAAATTCTATGTTAAGCAATGTAAATATGGTTCTTAAATTTTGGCATTACATAACAGGGTTCTACCATATTAATAATCTCTGTAAAAACTGATTATTCCATAGTAGGTAGGTAAAAACATTATAGAACTGTGATCAAATACATTTTGAGTTCATGATTTGGCTGCTGTACAAAGGTGCAAAAAAGTCATAGCATTTTGGTTACTGATATACATGTGTAGGTTTTCAGGAATGCTGACAAATTCCAAATATAAGGGAAATGACAGCACAAGAACACTGACCTACAGATAAACTAGATACTGTCCTTCACAAAGACGCATGGGGAGTTAGCAAACTGAGGAAGCTGTGGATATGTTAAGCCCTTCATCTTGAGGAATATAATCTGTGTTTAAAAAACCAAAGCTCGTCGCTGAGCACGGTGGCTCATGCCTGTAATCTCAGCACTTTGGGAGGCCGAGGCAGGAGGATGACCTGAGGTCACGAGTTTAAGACCAGCCTGGCCAACATGGTAAAACCCTGTCTCTGCTAAAAATACAAAAATTAGCCAGGCGTGGTGGTGGGTGCATGTAATCCCAGTTACTCAGGGGGCTGAGACAGGAGAATCGCTTGAACCCGGGAGGCGGAGGTTGCAGTGAGCTGAGATTGCGCCAATGCACTCCAGCCTGGGCAACAAGAGTGAAATTCCATCTAAAACAAACAAACAAACAAAAAAACCCCAAAAAACCAAAGCTAGTATAGCTATGTTTCTGTTTGGGAAGGTTTACCAGGCAAGGTAAACTGTCCCTGAGCAATACAAATTTGTTGTCCAGAGAATATTTTGAATTTTAAAAATATTGGCAAAGTTATATTCAGATATGGGTTTTTTGTGTGTTTTTGTTTTTGTTTTCTTTGTAAGAGTTAGCCCAATATCAGGGACATTGTAAATTAATTTTAGAACAATAATCAGGTAGTATTTCTCATTGGAATTATCAACTTTAGTAATACACATGTGCCAAGAACACTAATAAGACAAAATATTTCCTAAGAGTGACAAAAAAAGTTGCTTTTTCTCACTAATTTTCTACTGCTGCACACATAGGTATACTGGCATTTAATTAAAGCATAAATGTTAATGCTGACTTGCTAAATGATATGAGCTGGCAATATCATGTAACAAATGCAAATTCACATCAGTCTAACACTATATAAACATACTCATGCATTTGTGTACTGATAGTACAAATATAATGATTCATATTTTGACAAAAACTAAACTTGGAATGGAGAGCTCTGTGAAAGGCAGACTTGGGTCTTCAAATATCTCCATATGTGAAATATCAGTAGTTATACATACTCAGTTTTTAAAGGCACACATCCAAAATCTCCCTTCATCTAGATCTGTCATTTTCTCTATCTAATATGCCAAAACCCACAAAATATCCCAGAGTTCTCTCAGACTTGGTGGTAGTTGCAAACTTCTAAATGACTACTTATATTTGTAGAAAAACCAGTACCATTATCAGGACACTTCCTTTTGAACTTTCCCTCTTAAAAGACCTCAACAGTTGTTTTAAGCACATACTACTGCAGTAAATCATAGCTTTCAAACCACCTGGCAGTAAGCAAACATGTTTAGAAAATACTACTTTGCCTGCAGAAAAGAGACTATTGATAGACTTCATGGCAATCTGCAGCAGTTTAGAAAAGAATGAAGAAAGTGGTCTAGTTCTCCTAACAGAGAGTAGTTTATAGATGTAGGTCAGAAATACGGGAAAAGACACTCTGAAACTTAGAATCAACAGGGATTTCTGCTTATTGATCTACATTCTTAATCATCATTTCCATCCTGCAGGGTTTTTTCTCCCACATTTACAATTTTTTTAAAGTTAAAAGGGAATACGTATGGTAAAATGAAGTATGATGGGAAAATCAGATCATTATCTATTCATAAAACACAGAGAATACTTAAGTAGAGTGTTCAAGCACTTATCTCAAATTGCAATTTTATTTTTCAGATATATAAGAACCTAGAAAATCAACTTAGTACTTACTTCCTAGATGCCTGTGTTAGGAAAAGTTCTACATCACCACATTTCCTCTGTACCTTTAATAATTCAAACTCAATAAAATGCTGCTTTAGGATTCCTGAAAGCAATTGTATTTGTGCAAAGCCTAAACAGGAAAACAAAGTGGATGACTTGGCATTTGAAGAATGAAAAAGCCAAACGGCACTGTCACAATCATTTCTGCCTTCAGTCTCCAATGCCTTTTTCTTTAATTATAAAATCCATAGAAATGGCAAGGAAAGATATAGGGAAGTTTATCACAGATACAGTAGCTTTTACAGAAATTTGAAATTCAGCAGATGTTTTAAGTCAAAATTTTCTGTATAACAGATGAATTTGCAAAGTTTTGAAAACACAGTCCATGAAGTAATTTAAAATGTGATAATTAAATTTGTTTTAAAAAGCAAATTAAGAGCTTTTATTTTCTGATAAGATAAAACAATCAAAGAAAAATGTTCATATATCCAAACCTATGCTGGAAGTACACAAAAAGACAATTTGTATACATTACTGGCGATAGTCTTGCTTTGTATAGATTACAGAATATCCATTAAAAAAAAAAAACCATAGCCGGGCATGGTGGCTCACGCCTGTAATCGCAGCACTTTGGGAGGCTGAGGCAGGCAGATCGCGAGGTCAAGAGATTGAGACCATCCTGGCCAACACGGTGAAATCTCGTCTCTAGGCAGGCAGATCGCGAGGTCAAGAGATTGAGACCATCCTGGCCAACACGGTGAAATCTCGTCTCTACTAAAAACACAAAAATTATCTGAGTGTGGTGGCACACGTCCATAGTCCCAGCTACTCAGGAGGCTGAGGCAAGAGAATAGCTTAAACCCGGGAGGTGGAGGTTACAGTGAGCTGAGACCACGCCACTGCACTCCAGCCTGGCGACAGAGCGAGACTCCATCTCAAAAAATAAAAAATAAAAATAAAGCATACATGACTTTTGATGGTACATTTCTATGCTGGCAAATACATTTTCGGATACAAAGGCACTTTGAAAACCCAATATGGTTTGGTTCGTAAGTTTGCAAGGTACAAACAATTTTACAAACATGATTATACTGAAGAACGTCAACAATTGTGACATTACTTATAGAACAGATTTCCAATTTCTTTCTTTTTTTTTTTCTTAAAAAAAGTAATACTGGTTTTGTGGGAATGAAAGCAGTGGTTTCCAGCAGCTTCAGTGAAGATATTCCAGAAGACTGGAGGCCACAATCTGAAATTCTTACTGGCTGGGATGAGAGGATGATGGTGTGGGCATTCAACATGAAAACAAACAAACAAACAAAAACCAAAAACAAAACAAGAAAGAAAAAAGGACAAATCAACACCCTAAACCAAAAACCTCAGAAGTCAAAAAGATTTGGAGGAAAGAGCACAAAAGAAAAGACCAAAAGTCCAGGAGATATCCTCTTAAATCTGATCGCTTAGCTGTGAACTCCCCACAGAGCGTAAACGGCTGACTCTACCCAGTCTACTTAGTGCTCGGGAGTTGTAGTGATAATTTCTCTCTTTTAAAAAGCTGGGTACAATGTTTTGGATCGTACAGTACCAGAAAAATTTGGTCCATAAAAGGTGCATAATTTCTTTCCATTCACTACATGGCTGCAAAGTCAATCTGTACATAGAGCTGCCTCACTCCAGCCTGAAAAGTAAAAAAAAAAAAAAAAAAAATTAGAAAATCAAACAAGCTAATAACACCCTACACATTTCAGGAAAGTAATTCTTTTCTTTTACAAATCTCGCTTTGAAAAAAAAAGAAATTATTATTTCAGAAACAAATATATTCATAAGCTACAAAAAAGAATCTCCATTTACCACTACAAAACAACAACAACAACAACAACAACAGAGCCATGTTAACAGTCACACACCCTATCCAGATATCCAGGTGATACTTAGAAAAATGCAGTTCTCTTTCTACAATTACAGAGTAATTACAGAGAATTGTAATTCCCTTTCTACAATGCTTGACTGGTTGGCTCCTAGCTGAAATTCATACATCAACCCTGTCTAAATCCTCCTATGATAAATGATTAGTAAACAATCTAGCAAGTATAACTATCTATTGGAATTATTTTGCACTCCAAGTCCTCTCTTCTGTTTTGGATACGAACTTGCTACTCAAGGATACTGCTCTCTAAATTCTCCCCAATATCTTCTGTATTATCAATTTACTCCCTCTCAACTGCATCACTTCTGTTAGCATACAAACACACTGTAGCTGTTTCTAGCTTTGAAAAAACCTCATGAGAAATTATCTTTTGGGTACAATGTACACTATTCAGGTGACAGTTGCACTAAAAGCCCAAACTTCACTATTATGCATATATCCTAGTAACAAAACTGCACCTGTACCCCCTAAAGCTATTTAAAACAAAAACAAAAACAAAACAAAACCAAAAAACCCCTTTACTTAGCCCTACGTCTCCTTTTGGGCTCCCAATCTCCACTCTTCTTTACAGAAAAAGCCTCAAAAGAGTTATCCATATTTGCTGTCTACAATCCTTTTTCTCACTTCTCTCTTGAACTCATTTCAACCAATCTTTTGCTTCGCAACACTCCCCCAAAACTGTTTGTCCAGGTCACGTCCACATTGCTCACATTAATACCAATTCTCAGGCCTCTTCCTACTTCACCTATCAGTGAGAATACAGATGGTCACTCCCGCCTACTAAACATATATATATGTATATTTTCCCTTTTGGCTTCCAGAGAATATTCACTGCCTGCTCTTTTATCTCACTTATCAGTCTTTCTCAGTCTCCTTTGCTAGTTCTTCCTTCTCTCTGAAAACTGAAATCCCCAAAGGCTAAAGAAAAAAATAAAGCTTGGTACAAGAGCTAGTAAATACCTCAGCACTCACTCCCAATACACTTACCACCTTGTGATGTATTATACAACTTATTCAAGGTGTTTATTGTTTATTGACCTCTCACTATAATATAATCTCTCCGAGATAAAGGATTTGGTCTTCTTTTTTACGTTGCTGACTCCTAGAACCTCAAGTGGGAGCCAGCACACAGTAAGTGATCAATAAGTATTTGTTGAATTAACTGAAATTCCACTAATTTCCTTCTTTCAACCCAAAATGATCTATTTTTAATTAAAGGAACCCGTCAGTCACAATAAGCCCTTTTTTCTCAGTACCACAGAATAAAAGGTAAATTGGAATATTTAATAGGAAAAAACCAGAGTGGGGAAAAAATCTATTAGCATTACCTTTTCACAGTAATTTCTGGACTCCTCAAAGCACTGTTTTCTAGCTTGACTTTTTTTCTAGAATTCAGGTAGGAGGGCACTGTACAATACTAAGTGCTTGAAAGGATTCAGGAACTACTCAAATGGATAAAAGGCTTGACAGGCTCTAGAAGCTTGCCAGCAAAAGAAACATATTTTAATTTTGCTGGTGCTTCTCCTTTTTTTTTCTTTTCCTTTTTTTTTAAATAAAAGGCCTTCCTGTGGAAAGGTAAAGTTGTTACTCAAATTTAAGAAAAATATATTTAATAGTATCTGCTCCTCAGTTAAGATGATGTGGCAGAAAAAAGACAGAATTTAGTATCTATATGTTCTTGAGTTACAAATTAAAATCAAACTTCATTTTTTCTCATTTTAAAAGCGTTGATAAACACCAACCCTACTAATCTCACACAATTGTTACGTATTCATCCAATATTTGACAGATATTCAATAAATCCTTGCTATATACCAGGCATTTATAAAAGGCTATTACAAATTATTATGATTGATTACAATTATATGATCTGACATTATCCAGATGACACCTGAAATGACTGTACTTAGAAACTCTTCAAAAATTCTTATATATCAAACCGTAAGAGGAAACAAATATTGTTCAAATAAATTGTCTTAATTTATTTTATTTTTCAACAACATTGTTAGGTAAAGTAAAATGGGCAAAATAAGTTGGGCTCTTTTTATTGTCTCTGTCATTTTCCTTACTCCTAGCCCTAACACAGAGAATACGGTAATAAAAAATGAAGTAGCCCAAGGCAGTCAAAAAGAAAGGAAAAACAAAGAGGCTAGATAAATTATCTTTGCATAATCATGAGTTAATTACTCAAGCTGATAACCTTCCCCTAAGGGCTTACAGCCTTCCACAAAAGCTTAGTCTAACAGAAAAAAAAAAAAAAAAAAGTCATTTTGCTTTATCCATCTGGCCTGATGAGGACAGCTTCAAGTTTTACAGATTCTCATTTTCCTCTTCCAGTTTCCTTCAAAGTAAAGAGAAAAGTGGAAGACTCCTATAGTAAGTCACCTACTCCCTGAATGCAAACTAAGTTTTCTATAGTTTGTTCACATCACAAAGACATGACAGACACTCCAACAGATGAAAACACTGCTCAGGTCCATCATAAATTCTACCCCTAGAATGGGACCAGGAGCCAGAGGCTGGCTGACAGGTCCTTAAAATGTGAAAACCACATAGTACTCATTGCATATCCTGAGAATAACGCACAAACTATACTCCAGTCAATATTTTTATAAATTGGAAAGGCACCTAGTTATTTTGAACACTTTTATGCTCCTAAGAAAATAAATGTTAACCTGGTGCCATAGGCTTAGAATATTTTCAATACATATTTATTGTTGTAGAAAGGATAACAAATCAGAAGTAAAAAATTTAGAGAAATAAACAGGAATATGACTACAGAAAATTATTTCGACTGAACATATATTCATCTTTATCCCTTTAAAATGAAGTCTTGAAAAATTGCCTTACTCTTCCTTGTGAAACCTAAATCATTTCAGAGTTAGCAAAATAATGAGTAACTGTGACTAAATTACAAGTCAATAACAGTAACTCGAGTGTGGGTTTCTTTTTCTGTAAATTGTCTTTTGAGGCTCATTTAATATGTTAGGTACTGATCATAGTACTTGGCACATGATGAGCTCTCAATAAATGCTAGCTGCTGATGCTGTTATTATTTCCACCACTGTTCATCAACCAGTGAACACTTAAATCATGTGGATTACTTAAAAACAATAAACCTAGGGATCTGTTGGCCTCACAACCTGTGGCTGTTCTCTCCAACTTCCAAAGAAGGTCAGATTCTGGTGGACTTCAAGTACAAATGATGAAGAAAGATAATGGGAAGATGGATAAGGAAAAACTGCAGAGCAGGCAACCAAAATCAATACTTAGGAAACATTAAAGCCCTTGACCAAAAGTTTAAAAGAAAAAAAAAAAAAGAAAAGGAAAAGTGGAAAAATAGTAATCCACCTTCTCCTACTTCCTACCCCCTCCCTCAAGCAGGCAGAGAAGGTTAGATGAGCCACAGGAAGGGATTATGATCCTAGGAGAGTTAATGGAGGCAGAAAGTTTCTGAAACTTGGGGCACTCTTATTTGGGCTTGTGAGGAGGCTTTTTGGTTCCTTCCTGAGTATCAGTGTTAACTTCTATTTTGAGGACAGAGAATAGAGCACAAAAAGCTGAAGCAGGAAGTTGGGGGCTTAGGACTTATTAGGCACAAGGGAGAAAAGCAGAAGAGTAGAAAAGACGGAAGAAATAAAGGTAGAAGTTCTATCAAGGAATAAATATGTATTAGGCGAGACCATCTTTTGTGTTTTGTGGAACTGAGAATGGTAATAAACCCCGAGCATATTCTAGACTTTTCTTCAAACATATTTCTAGATGTTTCTTTAATACATTTCCTTCAAACATTATTTCTAACAAAAAGTATGTTAAATTTTTAGGATTACAGTTATGATTGTGAAGTGTGTTATTTTAAAAAATTAACAAATACTATTGGCCAGTTTAAAACATAAGATGTTAATTGCCTTCCTAATCTAGTATCCCATTTTCTTTTCCTGTTTGTACATGAAACACAAAACATAAACTTTCCATTTTATCAATTCCCAAATGATAACTTATTAAAAAGAATTGGTGCAAGGGGAAGAAAAGGGAGAGGACTTTTTCTATGCCAGCACAAACCTGGTACTTTACAAACTGTATTGTCACTTAATCCCAAAGCAATCTAAGTACTAAGTGGCTTTTAGCAATGCACTTGCATTAGTTTATATTCACGTACAGCAAGCCAACTTCTTTAGCAGTTAAAGATTAATTGGTAACTCTGAAAAACGAAATTAAAAAGGCTAATGCCTAAGATATAGGTCACAAAGCTATAGTTTTATTAACAAAATAGAAAGTTATAATTCTTCGACTTTTAGATATTTTTAACCAAAAACTATCACTTACATTCTAATTTAAGACTGGCTATAAGAAAGATACCTAAAAATGTAATAAACAAAAAGCTATAAATTATTGAAAAAATCCTTCTTTTGGTCTTTTGGAACTAAGGCCACCAGTATTTTAAATCTGTCTATAAGAAATACACCTGAAGCATCTGTGTGATCAAAAAGGGAGCAATTTGAGTTTTGTTATTTTTGATAAGTAAAATTTACAAGATATAATTTAAGATTAATTTTTTTAAATTTAAATTTCATCTCATAAAATAAAAATGCTCCTGCAAGCCTTGGCATATACTAATTGCATAAGGATCATGCATTACTAGGGTATACACAGAAAAGGAAAATAAATTCATGAAAATTTCAATTTGCATACGTCAGAACTAAAGCAGTGATCATAAAACAATTTTAAAATCATTAGGTGATAAAAAGGCTTAAAATACTTTTTCAGGGCTTAAAATATTCAAAGCTCAAATGCAGTTTCCAAAACCAAAGAAGCAGCTGAATAAACTTTCAATTTCAGTCATTTTTAAAGCCAACATTTCTAAAGTTACCAGAAGAACCTCCTTCCACTTACTTGAATGGCAACTTCAGCAGTTCCTAAGCCCCGACACAGCTGCTTGCACATTTCTAAAACTAGAAATTGCATTCCTTTTTAGAGGACAAATTGTGAGTAAGTGCCAAAGTCCTAGGAGAGTATGGGGTGTCCTAGGGCTCAACAGAAGCTCACACTATGAGGGTGAAATGACATGGCATATCTAGGAGAAAATTCAAGGTAAAGGAGGGAAAAATAATCTGGAAACATCAGTGAAAAGAAACATTACTGCTAGCCTGGTTATCTTGTTGTCCCGGAAACATGTAGAAGGTATAAGAGGGATTCAGACACATTGTGAAGGTCTTGCATGCTTCATTATGAAGGTCATGAGATAGACTTACAGTGTCTGTTAAGAAAGACACCTAGTTGTTAAAATTCTGAAATAAGTGGTATCAGCATATTGTTTTGTAGTAGTGTATGTCTTGATTACACATAAGATTAGCACTGAAGTAAATCCTAATTATACATAAGATTATTTCATTAATTTATTCCCAAAGGGACCTAATGACACATTTCTCTTTATCAGAAAGATATATTTTAGATCTCATTAAGATCTTTTTGAGCTTGTGGTTAAAAAAGACCAATGGGAACCCAATAATATTTTTCCATACTTAGCATATATAAAGATGGCTTTAATCAAGTACAGTCTTTAAAATCTGTTTATACAACAAATTCATTATACACATATACTCTTCTAAGCACTGGGAATGCAAAATCATGACAGCTGGTAGGAACCTGCACACAAGTTGTACAATGTGATATGTATGACATAGAATAAAGTAATTCTGCTTTGTGGGACACTTAAGGCTTTAGAGAGAAAGTAACAATTGCATTGGATCTTCAAGTTAGACTAGGATTTTTGTCCCACACAGAAAAGTACACAGTCTAGTGGGTTTGGAGTATAAAGTACATGGCAATGAAAAGCAGGAGAGAGACTTTAAAAGTCAGTTGGTTCACGCTAGAAAGTCTGGGCTTTATCTGGATGGCAATGAGGTGCCACCAAAGTTTCTATTTTTCTTTTTATTTTGGAAAAATACTTTTTTTTTTGAGGCAGTCTCGCTCTGTCACTCAGGCTGGGATGCAATGGCGTGCTCTCAGCTCACTGCAACGTCTGCCTCCTAGGTTCAAGTGATTCTCCTGCCTCAACCTCCCGAGTGGCTGGGATTACAGGCAGGCACCACCATACCTGGCTAATTTTTGTATTTTTAGTAGACATGGGGTTTCACTATTTTGGTGAGGCTGATCTTGAACTCCTGACCTCAGGTGATCTGCCCGCCTTGGCCTCCCAAAGCGCTGCAATTACAGGTGTGAGCCACCATGCCTAGACTATTTTGAAAAAATTTAAAGTCAAAATAATAGTACAATAAATACCTGTGAACCCTTCAGCTACATTTACCAATTGTTTAAATATTTTGCCAGTTTGCTTCATCTCTCCACATATATATTTACATGCAATTTTTTAATTTTACCAAAACATTTGAAAATTAAACATCTGGATATTTTGCCATTAAATCCTTCAACATGTATCTCCTAAGAATTAAGAACAGTCTTCTATAAACACAATACCATTATCACATCCAAGAAATTTAACCACTCATACAATTAAATAAACTACTACAGTCTATAATCAAGTTTCCTTGATTATCCAGCCCTTTCCTTTGTGGTTGCTTTTTTTCCCCAGTCCAAGACCCAATCAAACACCACACATTGCACTTAATTGTGAAGTTTCCTCTAATCTAGAATTATCCCCTACCTTTTTATCCTTTCATGACATTGACACTTTTAAAATAATCCAAGTTAACAGCCTTGGATTTATATGCTGTTGAGGCTCTCACAAGCTGTATTTGTCTGGATGTTTGCCCATGGTTAGATTGAAGTTAAACGTTTTTGGTAGGAGTACCCCATAGGTCATGTTCTGTATTCCCCATGGTATCACACCGGGAGGAATATAATGTCAGTTTCAACCACAGATTTTTAACACATGGAACCTGTTTCTTCATTACATCTATGTGTTAGATCAGGGGTCCCTAACCCCCAGGCCACAGGCCAGTACTGGTCCATAGTCTGTTAGGAACGAGGCCACTCACAGCAGTGAGTGGCGGGTGAACTGTGGCATTAGATTCTCATAGGAGCGCGAACTCTATTGTGAACTGCACATGTGAGGGATCTAGGCTGTGTGCTCTTTATGAGAATCTAATGCCTAATGATCTGAGGTGGAACAGTTTCATCCTAAAACCATCCCTCCTACCACCACCTTCAACCCCCGTTCATGGAAAAGTTGTCTTCCACAAAGCCAGTCCCTGTTGCCAAAACGGTTAGGGACTGCTGTGTTAGATGATTCTGACAGTGGTATCAATGTCTAGGTTTTTTTGCCAAATGTTTCTAACAAACTAGACTGAGAAAAGAATTTGTATTCTCTCTACCTCTTTCTTAGATGTTACTGACATGACCTTCTTATTCTCCCAATATATACACAATGCATACCATAGTAATCAGTCTTTAATTGTCAGTCATATAGCTATGTTAACTCATGATGGCACGAGCCTTAACTGAAAGAATTTGGTTGTAGACCATGCACTAATTCATGATTCCAATTGCACTATTAAGAAAAACTCAACAGCATATAAAGTTATTAAATCACTCAGTAGGTGACCATAGTTTTGCTGTCACACAAAAAAGTTAACAGTCTGCTTTTAGCTAAAGCCACTTATTCTTATTCCAAACACTGTTTTAGAATTCTTGGCTTCAGATAGTACCTAACGTATCTTCTAAGAAATGTGCAGTAAAGGATAATATACTTTTTCTTGAAGAACTCAAATAAGTACAATGATGAGCATATAGGAACTATCTTCCTATTCCTGAAGAATATTAACTAAAACAGGTATTTCCAAAACGACTCTGTGGTTGGAAAAAAAAAAATGTGGCTTTATGTTTACCTTATAGTTTAGTAGTATATATATTTATTATGTTAAATAGCATTTTTTTTTTTGAGACAGGGTCTTGCTCTGTGGCCCACACTAGAGTGCAACTGGATCATAATTCACTGCAGTCTCAAACTCTTGGGTTCCAGCAACCCTCCTGCCACAGCCTCCCAAGCAGCTGGGACTACAGGCGCATGCCACCATGCCCAGCTAATTTTACGTTTTGTAGAGATGGGGTCTCACTATGTTGCCCACACTGATCTAGAAATCCTAGCCTCAAGCCATCCTCTCACCTTGGCCTTGTAAATATTTTTAAAACTACTAGTTATAAAAAATTTTAAGACCCTTAGAAAGAAGTTAGTAAAAAAGACATACCTGAGTAAAAATATTATGTGTTTGGCTTAAAATCCACCTAGCATCAGCATCAGGTGCTACTATTAATTTCAAGGTCCCAACATAAACGTCAGAACACAAAGTCCAGAAGTGCTGTTCCTGTAAACTGTAAACTCCTTGCAGCTGCTGTACCTGAAATATAAAGGAGAGATATTAACATCATAATCAAATTAAGTACTCCCTTCTACTTAAGTTATTATGCAATATATCAGTAAACATGGATTCTATTCTCTAGTTTAAAAAAAGGAAAGGAGGATGTTTGAATAAATAAATAAATAAATACTCTTGAGTACTAATTATGTGCCAGGTACCATGACAAGTATTTGGGAAATATAAATAAACACATATCAAAATATGTAGGACACATCTGAGAGTGTGCCCCACAGGGAAATTTACAGTAACAATCACTTAATAAAGTCCAACACCTATTTATGACTTGGAAAAAAAACTATTAGAAGGACACTTCCTTAACTTAATACAGGCTAACTACCAAAAATGAATACAGGCTAACTACCAAAAATGTACAGAAAATAAGGATGAAACATTAGATGTATTCCCTGAAGATCAGGAAGAAGGCAGATACCCAAATCACTGCTATTGTTCCGCATCTCTATATTGATCTGGAGGAGTGGAACTCAGATCAACAACCAGAAGTTAAAAGAAAAAAGTTCAATGTGAAAAGATCTTTATAACAATTACAGCAGTTTACAAATAAAGAGGGAAGCTTCTCTGGGAGTGTGTTAACTACCTATCTCCGGAAATGGTCAAGAAGCTGTAATACCAACTTGATGTCATAGAGGAGATTTTGCAACAGACAGAAGGCTGGGCCAAATGCACATTAAGATCTTTTTCAGTTCGGAGATTCTGAATTTTACATAATCTACTTGGGAAGTTAAGAAAATGTTGATCTTATATCTATCAAATCTATTTATTTTTTGTTGGAATTTGATGAATGTAGTCATTTTTTTTCCTATAAACTCCACAACAGTTGATGGGAAATTGAGATAATATCTACTGTGCCTTCTTTAAAAACTGCTTTTATTGGGGAAAAAGATCAAGCTATACTTTTTCTTCCTCTTTTTGGATTCTGACAACATAGCTGTTTTAGCCAGATATCCCTCCACATTTTTTCTACATGACATCCTCATGGATGAGGCCTAAGGTGAGTTCTACGGTTAATGAAATAACCTGATGGAAAAGATTTCTCCTACTTCCATATGTAGCAGTACAAGTACATGACTGCAGTTATCTTAAAACACAAACTAAAGAATAATTCCTGTAGAAACTGGCTTTAATTTTACCAATTAAAAAATGGGAGGAAACTGTAGTTACAGATGAAAAGGGCAGTGTGGTAGAGTGGAAAGAACATGACCTTTAGAGTCAGAGTGACGTGGATTAGAATCCTGATTCAGCCACTAGCATTTGGACCTAAGATGAGCCTCAATTTTATCTAGGGAAAGGAAGATGACACTCACCTTGTAGTTTATTGTGAAGAAGAGAAACTATATATATATATATATATATATATATATATATATAAAACAATTATATATAGTTATTTATATATAACAATTATATATAGTTATATATAACAATTATATATAGTTATATATATAACAATTATATATATATATATAGTTTTATATATATATATGTAAAACAATTAGTAACAATTATGCTGATTGATGCTACCTTAAAATAATAACCACAAATCTTGAATGGGCAATATGTACTTTCCCTGTATCAAAAGATTATTTTATACCTTCTCCTTTTTCCTCTAGCCTTCTGATCTCTCTGCATGATTACACTGCCTGGTACATTATAGAGAAAACAGAAGTACAAAGAAAATCCCTTATCCTTTACCATTAGATCTACCAATGACTCCTTATCTATGTCAGCATTTCTGCATTCCCTCAGAGGATATAGTACCCCTGTTACTATCAACAATTAATCCTTCCATTGTGCTTTGGGTTCTATCCTTTCTCACCTTCCCATGACGTTATTCCTTTAATAATGTCCTTTAGTACTATAACAATTTCTTCCTCTCAGTTACACTGTTACCATTAGTTAATGCACATGTTCTAGAACTGTGCTGTGCAATTCAAAAGTCACTAGACACATGTAACTATTTCAATGAATGGAAATTAAGTTAAAAAGAATCAGTTACACTAGCCACATGTGGTTTGTGGCTTCCATATTGGACAGTGCAGATTATAGAACCTTTCCATTATTGGGGAAAGTTCTGTGGGATAATGCTGTTCTAAAACATCCTACTTTAAAAACAAAAAAATACCCTCTATCCTGATACTACATCCATATCCGCTATCAACTCATTTCTCTGCTCCCTTTAACAACACTTCGTAAAGGAGTTGTCACTTCCCCATTCATTTTCTCCTTAATTCATTCAAATCATGCTCCCTTCTCCAACACTCCAATGAAACTGCTCTTAACAAGGTAATTAATGGCATCCAGAAGGCCAATGATCACTTCTGTTTTTTTTTTTTTTTTTTAGTAGAGACGGGGTTTCACCGTGTTAGCCAGGATGGTCTCAATCTCCTGACCTCATGATCTGCCCACCTTGGCCTCCCAAAGTGCTGGGATTACAGGCGTGAGCCACCACGCCCGGCCTGATCACTCCTTGTTTCTACCCTCCTTGACCCCACAGAAATATTCAACACAGTTAATTACTTCCTCCTCCTTCAACTCTGTGATCCTACACTCTTTTGGTTTTCCAGCACCCCACTAACCACTACCTTTCCTGGCTTTCTCACCTGTGCTCCAAATTTAGAGTTGAAAGCAGAGCTAAAAGAGTAGAACTAGAACTTCTCTGGAGGTAATCACATACAATCTTGATGTTTTAGAAGTTATTCATATATTGATGACTTATAACTCTTTCTGGTCCTAATCTGTCCCCAAAACTCAAGATTTTCATATCCAACCACTTAAGTAACATTTCCCCTAGAAGTGTAGTAGCCATTTCCATTTTAACATATCCAGAATATAACTCTTCATTTGGGAGATTTTCCATCCTCAAACCTGTACCAACAAGGCCTCAGTCTCAGTAAGTGGCATTACCATCTAGTAAGTGGCATTACCATCTACCAAGTAATAAACCAACACTTTCTCTACCCTCTGCTAATATAATCCACTTCCAAAAACATATCCCAAATGTATATTTATCTTCACTGCTACAACTGTAATCTAAACCACTATTGTTTTTCACTTAGAGGACAATAACTTCATAACTGGTTTTCTTTGCTTTCATCCTCCCTAGAATATGTTCTCTTCATAGAAAACACAATAATCTCTTGAAAACATAGGATTTATGACACTTCTATTGCCTAAAAGCTTTCCAATGCTTCCCACTGAGTTAGAATTAAATCTAAATCTCTTATTATGACCCAAAACCCTAAATGATCTTGCTCCTGCCATTCTCTCCAGGCTTTCAAGCCATTCTTCCCTTTATTTAATATACTTCAGCCACAATGGCCTTTTTTATTCTGTTCTTCAAACACAAATTAAATCCAGCCATAGCACTTTTACATTAGCAATTTCTCTTGCCTGGAACATTCTTCTCCAGTATTTTCATATGGCTAGCTCTTTCTTGTCATTAAGGTTTCAATTTCCTTGCATATAACTACCTTAGTGAATCTAAGGTAGCCATCCATGACTAACACATCACTTTGTTTTATTTCTACTATAGTAATTCTCATTGATATTTTCTTATTTATCTACTTATTGTTTAGTTCCTGTATTTCCCCACTGGACTGTAAGTTCCATGAAACAGAGGCACTGTCTGTCTTGTTTACCATTACCTCCCCAGTATTTTAGAAGAGTATCTGGTAGAATGGGAGCTCAAAAACTCTATGTTGAATAAATGCTTATGTCTCTGCTATAGATATTCTATATTTTAAAAAACTGCTCAATTTCTAGATCAGAACAATTTCTACTACATTTTCTTTAGTAAAGTTCAACATTTTCCGACAATTTTATTCTGGCTTGTATAAATGACATTTCATGGTCAGCATTCAATCTTGGAAGAAATATTCAATTATACACACATGTTACCCATATTTGTGAAAGCTGAAAATCAAGAGATTGAAAACAGCATAAAACCCAATGGTTTGGAATATTTGAAACTCACCCTCTGATAGCACTGAGGCAGAGTATTTTCTAATAGGGGAGGAGTTCTCTGCATCAATATTCCAACAGATTCTCTTAAAAGAGGAATAACACTAAGGAAAAGGAAAACAACAATTTGTTAAAGTCACATTCTGACAATCCCATCCAGCAAGAAAGTAATAATATCCCTTCCTATGGTAGAATATAATAGGACTTAGAATAATATGAGAAAAAACAATCAACCATTGTTTTAGATTTTCCATGTGATCAGTAAATTATCCAAAGTAAAAGTAAAAGACCTAGAGAAAATGTATTAATGTATGAAAAAGTAAAGCTATAAAACTGAAATAATATAATATCATCTAAACCCAGCACATGTTCAACTGTTAGTTAAAATATGACTCCACATGGTTAGAACCTTCCAAAGTAATCATAGCCTACCATGCTAACTGGTCCTTAATATTTATCAAATATTTACATGCACTTATCTGAATAGCACTGATAAGGAAAATACAAAAAAAAGAATACATCAGTCTATTTGTTCAATATCAGTCATATTTCATTATTTAAAAAATATAGAAGCCTGGCGATAATCACAGATGCAGTGAAATGAACTCAGCTCCTCTAGGGATGGTGCCCAAAAGTCTGCATGTGTTGATGTAACTAGTCCTCAATTAGTATTTGAAACTACTGTTTTAGGCTATTTGGATGATTAAATGTACACAAAACAGGCTGGGCGTGGTGGCTCACGCTTGTAATCCCAGCACTTTGGGAAGCCAAGGTGGGCAGCTCACAGATTGAGACCATCCTGGCTAACACCGTGAAACCCCATCTCTACTAAAAATACAAAAAAAAAAAAATTAGCTGGGCGTGGTAGTGGGCACCTGTAGTCCCAGCTACTGGGGAGGCTGAGGCAGGAGAATGGCGTGAACTCAGGAGGCGGAGCTTGCAGTGAGCCAAGATTGCGCCACTGCCCTCTAGCCTGGGAGGCAGAGGGAGACCCCATCCCAAAAAAAAAAAAAAGGTACATAAAACAATTAATAGTAGAATGGTGACGGTTACTTGAATGTAATGGCTTTCCAGTCTAGCAATATCCAATTCACCTTAGAGTCTCATTTTGTTTTCACTTCTGATATATTGAATCAGAATCTTTGAGGGAATGTCCAAAAAGCTCTCCATGTGATTCCAGTGATTCAGAGTGGCAATGCACTGTTCTACTGCTTGAAGTAGGTTGAGAGAGGAGGTCAGTAATGGCTTCCCTACACTTAATAGCTTAAGTCAGTGCTCACTTTTAAACTTAGAGAATTTCAAAATTTTCAAGTAAAACTTCTGATAATAGCTGTAGCTGAAGAAGATAAAAAGAACATCCATCTTTCAAGGAAGGTTTCATAAGAAGAGTAGAAACAAGTGTACTTTCAGGACTAGTGGTATTTTGACAGATGGAAAGGAAAGAGAGGTACCAAGAAAGACCCAAAAGAATAGACACAGTGCTTATCTGGCTCACTATTATATTCCCAAGATCTAGCAAAGTGCTGGTCATAAAGTGGGCCCAATTGTTGGTTAAATGAATGGCAGAAATACAGATAATCAAATCAAGAAAAATTAGATGTCACCCTTAATTCCTTCTTCTCCCTTAAATCACCAAGTTGTCATGATTTAATATCCTAAAGGTTTCTTGACTCAATTCCTTCCCCTTCATTGTACTATGCATGTCCACAATAATCTCCATGTCTTCCACGTGGATTATTATGATAGCTTCCTAAGTGATCGCTTCAGCTCTAGTCTTACTTCCTCAAGTCCACGTAACAAGCAGCTTCAATGATGGCTCCCAATGACCCTGCCCTATGTAGTATTCATGCCCTATGTAAAGTTTCAGGACTTAGTGACTTGCTGCTAATGAACAGAGTATGGCAAAGTGATGAGACGTCACTGCCAAGATTAAGTAAAAAGACTCTGGCTTCTGTCTTGTATACCCTCCTTGTTTGCTCTCAGTTGCTCTCCCACAGCTGCTATGTTGTGAGCTGTGCTATAGCGAGGACCATGTGGCAAGAAACTGAAGGATATTTCTTGAGAGCTACTAGACAGACCCTCAGTTCAACAGCCCAAAAGGAACATAATGCTGTCAGTAACCACTTGAGTGAGCTCAGAAGTAGACTCTCCCCCAGATGAACCTTGGAGTAACTGTAGCCCCAGCTGCTACCTTGATTACTGCTTTGTAAGAGACCCTGAGCCAGGCAACATAGTTAGCTATGCCCAGGTTCATAAACCACAGGAGGTGTAAGACAATAACATGTATTATTTTAGCTACTAGGTTTTCGAGTGCTTTACGTATCCACAGATAACTGATACAACCAGATTTTATAGAGACGTTAGACTAATAGACATAAAATAGGTATGTGACCCTATTCCTTTCCCACTAAGAAATGTGTCAAAAGCTCCCCACTGCCTAGAGAATTAAGTGCTGGCTCTTAAACATGGTATATTTTTGGATCTGGCCCTCTACCTTCACCTCCTATTAATCCTTGCTTCATATTTTAAGCTCTCCAAATAAAACATACTTGTACTTTACCTTATACTGTTTCTTACTTTCACGGTTTTGTTCAAACTGTAACCTCTGCTTAGAATGTCCCTAAGCTGCCCTACAGTCTTACATTCATTCTTTGAAATCTCACATGTCACCTCTTTTAGGGTATATTTCTTCATCGCAAACTGCCTTCTACACTGTATGAAGTGTCTTCTCTGTGCTCCTATGAAAACAATCTGTGCTACCTACACTATTACTACATTGCATGATAATTACCAGCTTGTTTTCCCCCTCCCTCTAAACTGAAAGTTGCTTTAAGGTAGGAATTATCTTATTTATGTTTGTAAACCCAGCATCTCAGACAGTGTTTGGCAAATAAATGTTTATGGAACAGAATTCATAGCTGAATCTATTAAACATAATTAATTCATAAATTTAAAAAGTATATCTAAGGCTCAGGATCAATACTAAATCTTAAATAATATATGGAATCATTAGCAGTTAAGAAAAGGCACTAGGTAAAGAAAGTAAAGGCACGGTAAGTAAAACATCTAGAAAAAGGGGAAACATATTTCCAGCAATAGTAAATGCCTCAATGAAGAAAAACAGAAACAGAAAAAGGCCATCAGATTAAACAATGCAAATATTGTTTGAGTCCATCCACTGTAACATTTCAGGAACAGTAAAAGCCAGGTTGGAGAAAGAGAAAAAAAATGAGTAGAAAACAACTGCAAATGGACTTAAGGATTTTGACAGTGAAGAATATTGGTTATTCATTCATCTAAACTGAAGAGTGGTATCTGTTTCTACCTACTGTGTTGCTATTAAATAGGTGACGACTTCCTGTGTTTACAAAAAAGGCAAAGAAAAAAATGATGGCATATTAATTAGGTACAATTCAACCATCATTTTTCTTTACTCTCTCCATCCTCATTTCTCAGGAAAAAGAAAGAATCCATCACAGAATGTTTTTATATATTAAACTTAACATTTTTATCTTTCCCTAACTGTACTCAGAAAATGAGGCACAAAAATGGTTCTCCTTGAATTACTGTTTGAGAATAAGAAAAAAAGTTTTTTTCTTACCTACATCCTAAGTTTAGTTATTTTAATAATTTCTTCTCCAATCTTAATCTAGGGAACTACTAACAATGTTTAGATATCTGACATGAAAATTACTCTCAAATGGAAAGCATGACACTTGGGTTCTGATTCTGCCATTAAATAGCTTTAAGCAAATCACATATTCTTCCAGAGCATCAGTTTTCTCATCTATAAAATGAAGGAGTAGGCTAAACATCCAGGCAATTTCTTTTATCTTTTATATATTTTCCATTCAATAAGAAAAAGTGGTTAAACCATAAAGAATACTAGAGAGAGAATATATTTGGAAATGAAAGAAAATATAAATTGTTTTTATATACTAAGGGGAAAAAAGTAGTGTCACCAAATGACACATAGATATACTTGGCAAAATGATTTATTCTATCACGATAGATAATCCAGCAAATGAATTTTATTAAGCAATCAATATTAAGCAATTATTAAGGATCTACTACTATGTATCTGGCATCAGATTTTCTAGAACCAGATAGGACTTTACTCTAGAGTTGTGGAAATGGTGGCCTAGAACACCAAAGTAACTGGTTTAAGGTGTGAAATGTTTGTTTAAAGACACAGCTAATGAGCAGGAGAACTAGAACAGATCAGGTCGTTAGACTCCAAGTTCAGTTTTGAAAAGTTCAAGTCAACAAACATCTGTTATATGCCAACCATGGAGCAAGCATGTGCTAGACACTGGAAATACAAAAATAAATAATATAGAATATTTTGGTTCAGAGAAATTCATAATTTTATTTTTAATAAGCCTGCAGAGAAGGCAATGGAAATCAGGCATCAAACTTATTTAGGGTACACCATTTAGAAGAAGGCACATACGAATTTAAAGCAACTACATATTATGCTTGTATCCATTTTCACTTTCCATGAACTTCTGGTGAATGGTTTTCTTAATTGGTATGTTGATAACTTCTTTTTAAACATACCTTTAAAAGTAAAGAGGAAGAGAAAAAGGAATAGAAGAGGCATTGACTCAACTGCAACAGAAGGCATACAGTATGAGAAATAACTTTACTTAAGCAACAGGGGTGAAATAACTTGTGCGAACAAGTTTTAAAAATTTATTGTTTCAGAATACTCAGGTTTAGTCTAGTTGTTTCCCCCAAGGAGCTAAAACACAGTAAGAGATGGTGAATCCCATCTATAATAATCCTTGAGATCAGCCTTAAAACATTAAAGAGATTCTCTTAGACAGTCCAACAGTCTCTTAATAAGTCACCTAGAAAAAACATCTACAGATTTATCCAAATCTTTGTTCAAATTTTTACGTGTGTATTCCATGCGTGTTGCCTTCCAAAGTCTGCTACTCCTTGCTACCACCTTTTTAAAAAAGAACCTAGTACTTCTTTTTTTTCCTCCTAAAATTCGCTTTCACATGAGTCCCTTAGTTTAAGGACTCTAGAATTAGTAAAGAAGTTACATGATCACGGATAATATCATATTAGAATTAAAAGGGAAATTAGAGATCAC